CTACAGCCACAGAAATGAGTGAGTGTGTGTGTGGCGGAGAGACGTCCTCGTCACATCTGGAAGTGATCGGCACACCAGCAACTAAAGAACATTGGGTTCTCATACACTGCCATGCAAAATAAAGCAATAAATCAATCAGCAACAGCAAAGAAGCATTGGCTGGACTATCAGGTAACACTGGCTGTATGATCAGGCAGACAGCATCACCTAGTGGACATTGATAAATAGGAATACCTAACCTGAAGAAATACTGATAAGCTGTATTTAATACACAAGTAATCAAATAAAATTAACATTTATAAACATAAACTGATACAGAGAGAGGCAATACAGTATGACCAGGCCTGCCTGCGAACTCAGCAAAACCTCCACTGATCACTGCAGAACTTTGAACATCAGACTATCACAATGGTTAATGCCTTCCCTGCCGCTTAGATGTTTATTTATTTATTATTTTGGCCGATTTTATTATGCTAAAATACTATTACTACTACTACTACTAAATTACTTCAAAATGTATGGAATACTAATTATTAGTAATATAAAACAGAATAATTATTTTTCACTAATATTAACAACAACAACAACAACAATATAGTAAAATAGTAAAAATAATTATTCCTATTAATTATTTTGGACTAATTGATAATATTTTATTCAATACATCATTTATGGCTCAGTGGTAGAGCATTGCGCTAGCAGCGCAAAAGGTCATGGGTTCAATTCCCAGGGAACACACATACTGATAAAAAAAGTATAGCCTGAATGCACTGTAAGTCGCTTTGGATAAAAGCGTCTGCTAAATGCATAAATTAATTTATATTTTACTATTATTGTTGTTGTTATTTAGAGATTAATAACTAATAAATACTAAATAATAATTACAAATTACTAATTATATTCATAATAATTATTATTCCATAATTGTTAGACTGATTTAAAGTAATAATAATAATAATAATAATAATTATTATTATTATTATTGAATAAATATTATCATCAATTAGTCCAAAATAATTAATAGGAATAATTATTTTTTTTACTATTTTACTATATTTATTATTATTATTGTAATAAAAATAACAACCAATAAATAGTAAAAAAAAAAAAAATTATTCCTAATAATTATAATTATGTAAAGTGGGCCTAACTTAATAATAATAATTATAATACTAAAAAATACAGTAAAATAGTAAAAATAACAATTATTCCTATAAATTTTTTGGGACTAATTGATAATAATATTTATTCAATACATTATTGATATTTTACCATTATTTTATTATTATTATTATTGTTGTTGTTATTAATTATTAATTACTAACTAATAAATAGTAAATAATAATTAATAATTATTCCTAATTATATTCTTAATCATTATTATTCCATAAATGTTGGACTGATTTATAGTAATAATCACTATTATTATCATTAATTTGATGGTGATGAATATTATTGTAATAAAAAAATATCAACCAATAAATATTAAAACTAATAATTATTCCTAATTACATTCCTAATAATTACAATTACATAAAAGTGGGCCTAACATAATAGAAGTAAATCCTTCCTTGTATAATCTATTTACAAATATCTAATTTTGATTTTAAAGAGACAGACTAAACAAAAACCACATATTTTATTTATAGCATCTTTTCTTAAGAAATAATTAAGGAGCTTGATTAACAAGAGAAGACAACTAAAGGGGTTAAACTAGTTTGACAGAGGCCTGTTCTGACAGTCTTACACAGAGTCAGCATCTTCAGTGCCAGATTCACAGGAACATGGCTGCTTTCCTGGACACAGATCATGTTTAGTCTCAGACTATAAAAGATTTCACTATGAATAATCACTACTGACAGCCAAAGTTCGTCCAAGACTCTGCCTAATCCGCTTCAGGGAAATTGGCTCCATGTGTTTCAGTTGACCGCTGATCCATTCTGGATTTCATTGTTCAGTGATTACAAAAGGCAAAATATATACTGGCATTCATACAGCAGCAGTTAATCAAAGTCTGACAGCAAATTGTAAACATTTAATTTTATTTTGCGCGTAACTAAAACACATTCTGTACAAAACATTCAAAGAGCTCCTTTCTGTTGGAGAACCTCTCATCCCGGCATAATGGGAAATAAAAAAAGTCAGAGTTGGAATTCAGAATGAGTATTATCTTCCTCTGCAGAAGAATAATTCTGAACACGCTCTCATTTCCCGCTGTAATTTTGAAAGGATGAAGGTCACTTATGCAAAGTGGCTGGCAGCTCCTTTCTAAGTGAGGGACAAGATGATTACGTTAAACTAAACCACCCACTCGCCGCAAGACGAAACATTGTGCTTTCAGGGTCAGTGTTTCTTTTTCAACGGATTATCTCTGTCTCACACACACCAGTGACATGTCAGCGCACAAAACACACACACACACACATACAGACTTCCTTACATTTTTGTGTCTTTTTCTCACACACACACTTACTCTTTCTCTCTCACTTGTGTTTTCTCTCTCTCTCACTGTCTCGTGTCAACTGAGGGTTGATTTGATGAAGCGTGTTGGGCTGTGATGTAAATAGTGAGATCTGATTGGCTCGCTTGTCTCCTGCAGATGTCCACAGTGATCTGTGGTTGGCCGTGCTATTCCGGCTGGCAGCCACAGGAGGTGCTCTGTTCACGGCCACAGCTCCTCATCTGCTGACCGACATCTGAACCCGCCTTCTGTGGGAAGACAAAGACAGATAACTGGAAGTCCAAGCAAACTACAAAACAGAAGGTCATCGCCCTATGCGGATTTAAAAACTCACAATTTCTTGTTTCTGTTGTATCGGTGCACTTTGCACAACTAATCACATTAGTTTTTTGCACTGATTTTCAAAGATCAGGAAAATAAAGGTCTTTGTTAATTTATCTGTCACTAATTATGGCAGGTTTAAAACACACATATACTCACATTATATGAATAAATTAATAAATAAAACTATCATTTAAAGCAGTGGTTCCCAATCCTGGTCCTGGAGAACCCCCAACACTGCACATTTTAGATGTCTCCCTATTTAAACACACCTGATTCAACTCATCAGCTCATTAGTGAAGACTCCAAGACCTCAAATGTGAGTGTCAGATAAGAGAGACACCAAAAACATGCACATACTACAAAGATCATAAAATCCATGCCTGTAATATTTAAGGAAAATATATCACTAAGAGCAGGATATTTGAATGCTTCCAACATTCTCACAGCTGGACTGAATGACATTTTCATGGCTGGCATTTATTGTTATCTCAATGGAAATTTTTCCACGGTTTTGCTCAAGTCTGACAGGGATCATAAGCGATGCTAATGTGCACTTGGCTCATTCCTACATTTGGAGATCTTCTCCTGCAGAGTTAAGTGTTTCTTGCAACCTGTTTGTATTTTTCAAGCGAATGCAAATACCTTGATTATCTTTTTTAAGTTTAGAAGTTTATTTAGAGTTAGAACTTAACTCTAGAGCAGTGGTTCCCAATCCTGGTCCTGGAGAACCCCCAACACTGCACATTTTAGATGTCTCCCTATTTAAACACACCTGATTCAACTCATCAGCTCATTAGTGAAGACTCCAAGACCTCAAATGTGAGTGTCAGATAAGAGAGACACCAAAAACATGTAGTGTTGGGGGTTCTCCAGGACCAGGATTGGGAACCACTGATTTAAAGGTTTGGGGTTAGTAAATTATTATTATTATTATTTTTAACAATGGAAATGAATACTTGTAATCAACAAGGATGCATTAAATTGGTCAAAAGTGACAGTAAAGACATTTATAATATTACAAATTTATATTTTAAATAAATGCTGTTCTTTTGAACTTTCTATTCATCAAAGAATTCTGAAAAAACAACAAAAAAAAAACAACAACAACAACAGTGTCATGGTTCCACTGTCCAGACTGCGACCATTTTTTCTGCCTGTGCGACTAAATTTTGTGTGCGGTCGCACTGGTCTGACCACCGCGTTGGTCAACTCATAAGCCCTGCAGTTTCTGTTGCATATGAGAAACATCAAAGGGCAAACGAAACTGAAAGCATAACGAAAC